TAAATTGAGGGACACATTGACATTGCAATCGTATAAAAGATACATGTGAAGATAACTCTTTTTTTTTTGCTCTTGGAATATAGTTGTTTTTGTACCTGAATGTAGTCATTATCATCTTTTCACATAGCGTGTTTTTAAACTCTTATTTTTATTGTAGTTCCAACTGTTTCAAGCAACTTGTTTTATCGAGTGTTCTTCTATCATCGTTTGGTAATTTGATATCATATCCTTTTTCAGGCAAAATCAAGGTGATAACTAGCATGTTTAATGAGAGTGAGGTAAGATGCCTAAGGGTCATCGTGAATCACTATCTGTTCAAGAGGCCAGCACTAGAGAAAATTCAGAAGGGGGTGTCCATTTGAAGAAAGGCCCTTGGACTTCAGCTGAAGATGCAATTTTGGTTGACTATGTCAATAAACATGGTGAGGGGAACTGGAATGCTGTACAGAAGCACTCAGGACTTTCTCGGTGTGGGAAAAGTTGTCGCCTACGATGGGCAAATCACCTAAGACCAGATTTGAAAAAGGGAGCATTTACTCCAGAGGAAGAACAGCATATCATTGAACTCCATGCTAAGTTGGGTAACAAGTGGGCTCGAATGGCTGCAGAGGTTTGTTTATATTTTTTCCTGGAATTCTCTTATGCTTTTAGAAATGTGAAATTACATGCTTTCGTTTCTTTTTCTTCTTATTCTGTACAAAACTTGTAGGGAAATTTTTTTATTGAAATAAAAAACTTGTATGCGAAATTATATAGAGAAAACGACAGTCACATGCAATGGATATAGAATTTATTCCATGATGTTTCATAAGAAGCACACGTGGGAAAGATGGGAATACTCAAACGTTACGTTTATGTTTACAACCACTTCTTGACAACGACGAAAAACTTACAAACAAACACGTGAATGCTACATAGCCACCTTTTATCGCAGTCTTTGTTTTTTATTACCTTCTTTATTGTTGTCTTATTTCATTTCTCCAAAATATTGTTAGAAATTCCAGCTTCTGAACAGCCAAAGAGAAGACGGTTTAAAATAATTTCAGTGATTACTCTTGAGGCTTCCTATATGTATGCATGTTTTGCGTTTTTTCTATACGCGATACCTGTTGATCAGGTATATTTCTGATAGCCAGTTATCGGAGTAAGGAGTCAAAGCCCAGGAAAAGAAATAGGTAGGATCCCAATGGTAATTATTGTTCATGCTGCTGAATCTGTTGTTTCTATTTTCCTTTTCTTATTTAGGCAAATTATTAATATGCTCCCATGCAATTCAGTCTTTTCCTAGATGGCGCCTGGAAAACTTGCCCGAATAATGCCCTGTTGTTTATGCCACCTATTCAGGGTGGTATTTTGTTAATATAAGAACTGACTTTTTTAACATTTGTAGTTCAACCTAATATCTGTATGGATCTCTAACTTTTGAAAGAGACCATGATACTGAGATGCTGAGATGTTCATCATTGTGTTGAAGCTATAGCAGGGTTGTGGAAAGTGTTTTATATATATATATATCTATATATATGCACTGTACATCTTCAGTTGGTCTAATCAGTCCTATTATGATAACTTGAAAGCATTACAGTGTCATCCTTCCTTGCCAGTGGATTTTTGAAATCAAATTTCAACCATTCAGTTGATATAATGATTTTATCTTTTAAGATTTAGTTTTATGGAATTTAATTGTCAATAATTTATTTTACCTTAGTTTAACCAAGGCACGGTGGATTTTTGCAAACAACAGTAATTAAAGTTGATATGTCTGTAAAAAATCCTATGGTTCCAACTCTCCTCATCTTATCCTGAATAAAGGAAGAAAGTATCCTTTTTGTGCTTTTTAAGGCTAAATGCTCTTGACATTATGAACTACTTTTCTCTACTGATCCTACCGTTCTCCGTCATATTTAGAGGAGTTAACACTCTGCAATTGGGCTGCATTATAAAAACTGAAGTGGAGCATGTTCTTGATATAACTGAAGTAGCCTTGTTCCACGCCTGTAAGATAAATATTGAAAAAGATTTCATGTTAAGCAGATAGTGAAAGCACAACATGGCATGTTGTTTGTTGTTGTTTCTGTCAGAGTTGTATGTTACTGTTCTTATTTTCTTTTGAACTGACTAATTTAGCTGCCTTGCATACTTTACTACTGAAAGTACCTATGTTATCAGGTCAAGCTATTTAAACAACATAAAATGATAATTTTGTAATGTAAGAAAATGTCTTTTTTTTGTTTTTATGCATAAATAATTCTTTAGCAATTGTCACAAAGCTTTTCTTGATATTGATTGCCTGGAGTGTATTTCCTGCGCATTAGGTGTCCATATGACAGATATTAATTACCAAAGAATGCTGTTTCCTAGGACTTCATTTTCTTCTGCAACAGATGGACAACCAGAAACTATGCTGTGCTACTATAAACCATGTGTAGTTAAGCTCTCTCTCGGCTCAGGGCAACCATTTTGGACTTATTAGCAATTCCCCATAGATATCTTCTATTCTAGGGATTTTACTTTACAAGTGATTTTTTTGCTTTGGTTATCTCATTTATGCAAGCATTTCAAAATTTATTGGCATGAACTCCAAATTCCCTTGATACGGTGTTTTAATTACTGTTGTCTTTTCATGGTGTACTTTATTTTCTTCCGTTAGCTGCCTGGGCGTACAGATAATGAGATAAAAAACTACTGGAATACAAGAATGAAGAGGCTGCAACGTGCTGGCTTACCAATTTACCCTGAAGATGTGTGCATGCAAGTGCTGAATGGGGCACGAGAAAGTCAAAACATGGATATATTGCCAAATGGTGATACATGTTCTCTTGATGTCCTGCATACTGACAATTTTGAGATCCCTGACGTGGAATTCAAAAACTTAGAACTTAATCGAGGATTTTTATCTTATTCACCAACATTTCTTGATATTCCTGGGAGCAACATGCAAAAACAAGGTGTTAGTTCATCCGGTAGGTACAACATGATGTTCCCAACTATTACTCCCAGCAAACGGCCTCGAGAATCAGAGTTTGTTATGGATAACGACACTGATGGTGGTGTTCTTCCTTTTAATCAGTACATGAATTATGATCATGAGAAGATCAATGATCCCTTTGGGTTGTCTTATTCCTACCATTCTGATAGCAGCTCTTGTGATCAGTTGGTCTTACTAAGTGTTCCTGGCAGCCATGCCCTTTTAAATGGCAATTCTTCTTCTTCAGAGCCCATATACGGGGCTATGAAGTTGGAGCTCCCTTCACTCCAATATTCAGGTACTCAACAAGATAGTTGGGGAACACCTGCGTCCCCACTGCCTTCACTCGAATCTATTGATACTTTAATCCAGTCCCCTCCAAAAGATCAGACTCGGTCAGATTGTCCATCACCTCAGAATAATGGTCTGTTGGAGGCAGTTCTCTATGAATCAGAGGCTCGGACAAGGTCAAAGAACTATCAACATAAGCAGGCCTCGAATACTCCTTACATGTTTGGTGATAGTATGGATGGTTCACCTTTGAATCTCTGCATGATGGGACAGGAAGCACATGGTGACCCAAACTCTCCTTTAGGTCATTCTACAATATCAGTTCTCAGTGAGTGTACTCCTGTCAATGGAACCCTATCAGATGAACACCAGTCTGCTGAGACTAAGCCAGGTAATGGTCATTTGTAATGCAATGAAATCGAAATCTACAGAACTGAATTTGTTTTACTGAAGTTAACCAATGCTTTCAACGCAGGGTATGATATTAAGCCAATGATAGCGTATGCTGTCAAGCCTCTGGCTTCGTATTCACCTACAGTCCAAACTGTTGAAAATATAGGAAATTCCGATAACTTGAATTGGCTCGCTTATAGCATGGCAGATCTAAAAAATAAGTCGATTCCGAGGGATGCTATAGGTGTACTTCTTGGTGAGGATTTCGGCGGCAACGGCTAGCATACGGGTAGTATGAACGTGAAATCTTGGCCTCTGTTAATGGTTGCTTGAGAAGAATTCTGTTAATGGTGAATTCTACAAACATGGAGAGATAAGTTTGGTTAAACTAGTGTTTCGGAACTTGTTCGGTTACTTGGTTTTCGAGATTGCAGGTTGGTTTTTGTGAACTGGATGAAACTTTTTGTCTACAGAATGATGTTGGTCTCTGTCAATGCAACTGAATGTTTTCCAATTATGAACTTTTGGGTTGACCTCTTCAGCCTTCGTGCTTTCTATTTATGAGGACCTTTATTTAGCACAAGAGGAAAAATAAATAGTGAAGTAAATAGTTTAACTTTTTGTTTTTTTTTTTCATAAATTATTATTTTACAATTTCAATTACGTGCTAATCTTTAGGGTTTTTTTTCCCGATTCAATTCGATCTTTTAACTTATAAAGTTGTCTCGAAAAATATATGTTCGAATTTGAACAAATAAATTGTCGTAAATTTGACAGAAATAACATAAGCTGTCTAATGCAAAAATGATTCAAGGTTAAATTTTAATTAGGATTCAAAATGGTAAAAAATTTAGAAAGTAATTTTGGTAGTTTTTTGGGGTTTAATTTTTATAGTTTAATTCTCATATAGTTTAATGATTGATTAATAGGAATAACTTTAATTTTTTAGAAACAAAAAAAAAAATTAAATTTTCTAATTTAAATTAATTTAATAGTAAACGCACGATTTAATTTAATTTTTTATACATTCAAAATTAATTAAATTTAATAAAATATTTATATTTATCTAAGGAACATCGAATTTACTTAGTTAACAAATATTTTTTATATAGTATCCGTTACATAATAAATTTTTTTTTTCATCTTGGATTTCATTATCAGCAACGGTCGCCCGTTGAGCTTCTGAGTATTTTTTAAAAAGATTTTACTGGAATCTATGGTCTAAAATATGCACTATTTAATTGTATCGGTTAGTTTCTTTTCTTTTGTATATATAAAAAAATGTAATTAATATAAGTTTATGTGATATTTTTAGAAACGTATTAAATGTTAGGGACTAAATCATAAATTTGCTAAAAATATGAGGACTAAAATTGTAAAAAAAAAAAATAAAGGATTAACCTAGAATTTTGTTTTTCGTTAAGAGGCTAAATCATAAATTTGTTAAAAATATGAGGACTAAAATTGTAAAAAAAACTTTGTAATGGATTAAACTATAATTTTTTTTTTTTTTTTTTTTTAAATTTAGAAAATTGATGCTCTTGCCGGGATTACTTCCCGCCCTACAGGAAATTCCCCTACACCAGAATAGAATCACCATTCCCCCTCTCCAGCATACCCGATACCCAAACACACCTCTCGGCCACCGCTGCCGATAGCTTCCCCGCTCTCTCTGAACTCTACACTGTCAAATTGTTGGATAACCGGTCTCCTTCCCCGTCGCTAAATTTCTGCGAGAAGCTACAGGTAAATGCGCTTTTCATTCCCGTAGTAATTTGATTATTTGAGCACATTAACTGGCCAGTTCAACTGTTATTGCGCTGTTGGTAGTTTTGAGCTTGTTAATGGAGGCTATATTTATGTCATACTGATTGATTTATTAGGAAAAGCGTAATATGGTTTCTGGTATGTAATTTCATTGTATAAACTGCCAAAGTCACAGTTGTCGAGTCTGATAAGTTTCAATCGGAATTCAATGTTTAAGCCAAGTAAATCTATTTGCTGCAGTATGGCTACATGCACATAAAGCTTGATGTCTCTAATTGCATATAATTCATAGTTAAATGGAGTGCTTATAAGTTGTTTTAGATTCCTTAATCAAAGTAATAAACTATGCTAATAACCAGAGTAGAAGAAAAATAAGCACCTCCTACTATATTTATGATTTTTTATATAAATTATAATAAATACTTGCGGTAATTACTTCAACATTGAGTTTTTTTTTTTTTCCAATTTTTATTTCATTTGAATTAATTTCCAATAATATATCTCAATTAATTTTGATTTCAAATATATTATTAATTAATTGATACATGCGGTTAGCATATCATCAGATCCAAATGCACCTAGTAATGTCAAGAAAGCAACTTTCTGTACGACCATGGTCATCATGAGTTTTTGGTCATGCATTTCTTCTGGTGATTTTTGATGATGTCCTGGTCTAATAAAAGAAACCCACTTGATCCAGGATTTTAGCTTAAGTTGATCCACACCACTATCCAAGTCATGGGACTGTATCAATCACTAACTAAGGATCTGATGAGTTAGAGAGAGGTTGTAAGAAGAATTTATATTTTCTCTTCACAGTAATCGCTAGATAGTGTATATACAATTATTTACTGAACAATATGGTAGGCTTGTTTATTTTATGATAACAGTTTTAGCAGTGGATGGCAATTGAAGGTCGATTTTGGTGTTGACCTGAAAACTAACCAGAAGGCTAAGAGAATAATGATTTATACTAGTTCAACATTTCTGCGTAATATACTGGTATTCTTGTTGTGGAATGTTTTGGTTTCGCAAAT